TGACTTCGTTATACGGGTACGTAAAAGAGTTTCCTTTTAAGTATAATTTATTCATTTGTTAATTTTATTTCAATGAATACAGTTAACTGATTTACTATATTTATTATCGAAGAGTTGTCGTACATTTTAAAATAGAATTTTTAATCACATATAATAATTTCTGAATCCGGTATTCTGCAAAAGAGACGGAGAAGGAGTGGGCTAATAGTTCGTCCATTCATGTAAATAATTTAACAGTTGAACTGTTTAGATGCGAGAAGTGAGTACTAATTAAATTAACTTATTTGTTTACAGAAAAGCTATTTTTACAGCTATTTGTCAGCGATTTTGATCGAGTGTAATAAAGCACAACAATCGTTTCTCTTTGTGCCAACTTCCTTCTCCAACTGGTCTTTGCTCGGCTGCCACCAGCAGGCATCGCAGGGAATACTTTCAAGGGTCGTAAATCTTTTTTCTCTCAAACACTCCAAGGGCTGTCTTGTCAGATTTTCTGATAGTACATATTGTCAATATTGATGTGAGAACCGTCACTGCGCTGACTCTTGTGTGAACCAATCAGTTCATTGTCCTTGGGATGAAGGTTTTTAAAAAATACCACCGAAAGGACCTCATAGCCGGTACTTAAATGGATGATTCTGCGATAGTTAGCGCGAGGGGAATTGCAGTCGTCGTGCATGTTTTCATCTAACCTAATTCTGTATAAGAGCTGATGCATTGACCTTATCAACTCCTCTCCAATTTAGTATGAAGAAAAAGTGTAGTTCGCCCTTGTCTTGAAATCTTGCGTAACTTTCTAAAAAAAAATGTTCGTAGCTCCTCGCACTCAGGTACTGCGCCCTCTCTCTAATAATAAGGCCCAATACATATCCCTTCCCCCTTTCGGCCCTATATCGGTCACACATATCTCCCATTGTGCTCGATGCCAGCGGGGCACTGTAGGCGTCATCTTTTTTAACTTTAGAGGCTTCGCTGAAATCCGACTACTTCTTCGACGGCGGCACGTAATAATCGGAAAATTTGGTCAACTACTGTTGTTGTTGTAGCGGCACTTCTAACCCCCGCCTTGGTCGGTTTGTCTATTGATCATTGATCATTGTCGTCAAGCTCAACCAACGGTAGGCCCAGAAAAGGAGCAGTTTCCAAGTAGTTGGAGATGAGGGAGAGCGGTGTTAGCTCTGTGAGTTTGAGCTGACATGTGAAGATGTGGTTGGTGCCGTTAGGGTAACCTCCACATGCCGGAAACTCATTGGGGATATCGAGGTCGAGGAAGCTACAGTACCCTGACCATAATTGAGCCAGAGCTACGTGAGTTTCTCGTGGCTTTCGAAGCTCTGTGTCTGCGAGAGGTGGTAATTGGGCTCCGATCACGCTATTCATGGGTCGAGAGTCATGCCAGGTGGTCACCGACTCTCTATGAATGCTGTTGATTACCCTTCGGTGCGTGGTCGTGTCCAAAGAATGTTCGAAGTGGGCTATGTTTCAAAAGATATTCTCTAAAGTGTCTGGGCGAGGGATTTTCCTCGAGCAAGGGCCTATTAGGGTGATTACGTCTATGGCGCTCCCAAAAAAAAAAACTGTTTGCTGAGCATTTTACTATGCTCCCTTACAGGGAAAATTTTGGGCCTCGCAATGGAGATGATGCTCGGGCGACATCAGAAGGCATCCTGTCGATGTCCGGAGTGCGGCATTTCTGACAAGTTTTTAGCTTTCTCCACTGCATGCAACTAGACCGAGGCGAGCAAAGGGAGGCAGCATAGTTCAGAACTGCACGCATATTTTGGCTTGTTGAAGAGTGCTCCTCCCAAGGTGTTCCCAATGAATAACTTGTAATAGGGCCAAAACTTGCGTTAATGCTTCACTCGCCTGTTTTTGCATCTCTCTCTCTCTCTCTCTATCTATCTCTTCTCTCTCTCATATCAGGCTGAATGCCGTAGTGTCCTGGCACCCACACAAATTCAAGCTCATTACATCTTGTAACGGAGTTCAGCCTCAACTTACATATATACATATATTCCGGGACTATTTTTGAAGAGGTGAGAGTGGTTTCCTAGGCATTTAGAGAAGCTTGTCTGTCACTGCAGATCCTGATTTTATGTCCACTTCACCTTTCGGGAATTATCCAGTCTGCCACTTTCAGTATTGCAAAGACTTCCGATTGAAAGACCGTTGCCATTGCACCCAAAGTAGTAAAGCATCTGAAGTTGCCGTCCACATGCCATCCAGCTCCATTTTTAGTCTTTAGGAGTGTATCTGGATATCTCCATTACTCGCTGGTAGGATATCTAAAGACGTATTTTTTCCAAAGGAGACAACAGGCATTAGTTTGTCACTAGATGCCAAAAAAGGCTATTGCTTTGACAATCTTCTTAACAAATCTCTGTGCCCGGTTCTCCGATCGTCGTGCCACAATCCAAAAGAATGCAGCCGATTTATTGTTTTAATTGCCCCAAGGCATTAAGAGCCGGTGTATCTTTGTACACATGCTCCTTTGTAGCCTGTTTAGGACAGAAACCATGGCTCTTGCCATGATTCTGCGCCAATATACCACATCAGAGTATGTGAAGATTGGTCTGACTAAAACTTTCTATATCCAGAATACCATAGTCGGTCTCAGACCCTTGGTGTCACGAAAGATTCTCCGACACTAATCGAACACTTTCAGCTCTCTATTTACCTTCAGATCTCAATTCAATCTTATTTAGGATTTTCTGTGTGTTTACACAAACCATCCTGAGGGACTTACCTGATGACGGTACATAAACAACATGCGTGTTAGCTTGGATGCGAATGAAGTCTTGCTTTTCCGTTAATAGGGAGTCCACTACCAAACACAACAAGAGAGGTGAGAGCACCCTGTCCTGAAGGCATCCTCTCACAACCTCTGCCGTGGTACAACGGCTAGAGTCAAAGCCTGCGTTGTCAAACGCCCCCTCTCTATTAGCAAAGACTCCCATTGTGATCGCATCTACTTCCAGCTCCAGCTCGATATTTGTAATAAGTCGTTAACACTTTGAAAAATGAGCCACTTTATCAAAGTCCGCATAACAACTAAATTTTCATTCAATCGAAATTATAGTAAATGCAAAATATGTTTCAATTAAATGTGAGAAATTGGAAAAAATAAGTCATTGGCAAAGAGTCAATGGTTAACTTATATGCAAAAAAAAAAATAAAATCGAAAAGGGCTAGGCAAGCATTGACGTTGCAATGCGACACACCGCAATCAGACAACGCGGCAACAGCTGGGAACCCTTCAAGTAGGTTCACGGAAGAATAACCTGCACCAACAAAGAGGGAAAAAACTATAAAAAGCAAAAAAAAGAAGTGCCTTATAAAAACATGCAATAGAAATGAGACGCTGCCGTGATAGACGCGCTCACTGCTCGATTAGTTAGCCGAAATGCTTGCGCGCCGACGCTTCAAGTGCCAAAATGTGGGAGGTTGCCAGTGTTGCCACACATCTGCTGTTCCTACCCAAACTGGTAGGTTTTTTTCCATTTAGGTTCCGCGACAATAACAGTAATACGATCAGCATGAAAAGTGTAGATCTTCGGGGTAATTTGGTGGTATTCAAAGCATTCCTGGTGGATGACGAGTTATCCTTCTAAAACCCTACAAAGTCAGAATCCCTTAAGGGGACTGCTGTGAAGCGATAATAACTATGGTTGACGAAAGGTCGCAAGTATGGTATACCGAAGGTTCGAAGATGGACGACGGGAGTACTGGTCCAAACGTACTTGGACGAAGATTCCAGAGAAGTCTGCGCTTCTGCGGTTCATCTAAAGGATACACTGCAAAGCTATTTAGGTACTGGGAAGAATTTCGGATTGCTGCCCACAAAGAGATTCATAAGTTCTACCAGGTGAACTCCGAAAGACTCCTTGAACTTAACCCAGAGAGTCTTGAGTCTTTGAACTCGGACTGGCGTCCTGACAGGACACTGCAAGTTTGTTTTTATTGGACTAGCTCTTTTAGTTTTTTGGTAGGTGAAAAGATTTGCCCGTGGCAACACTAGTGGGTGTGCAGGCGCAAGGCGATACTGCGCAGCGTGTCTGGCAATTCGCCTCGCTGTAACACATGCGGCAACTATTCTGGTGTGACAGCGTTGGTGGTGTTGTCGACGGGGCAATACAACCGCTAACCAACTGACATCGCACTCCAGAGCAGGTCGTGGTGTGCGGTTTACATGACTTTGGTTAAATTCGTTTACGTCACTGTGCCGTCGTCGTCGTCGTTGTTGCTGCCGTTGTTCTTCTAGCCATTGGTTGCTGTTGCTGCTGTTGTTGTTGACGGTGTGGCATGTTGCATGCGCACAATTTGCCTAAATCGATTGTGCGATTTCCCAGCTCCTCAAGTTTCGTTTTTTCCACTTCGAGTCTTTCTTTGTTTGGTCTTCTCCAAAGTTTTATTTTGTGCTGGTTGAGTGTTTTGCTGGACCCTTAGCCGCTCCTTAAAAAAAAAAAAACAATGAACAAGCAAAACTGAAACTTGCTTTGCCTGTGGCAGCGACTGCGCGACGCTCTTCCAATTATTTACCGCTTTTCCGAAAGCTGCCGCATTAAATTAGCGCATTGTTAGTATTGGACAATTTAACTGTGCCGCTCGCTGACTAACCCAACTTTATTGCTGTATTCTTTGTACATACAAGTTACCATATGTATGTATTATTATTTTATTTCAATTTTATCGTTGCAGTTAATGCCAGTGCGCCGATGCACCGGTTTGTGTCCTCAACTGCCAGCAGTGATCGTGGAGAGCTAGCTTGAGCTTGAGTCGTTGCAATTTAAAGATGCTGGATGCTACATAACCAAGTAATGCCTCTGCTGCTGCTGTTGTTGTTGTTGCTATTGCCATTGTCATTGCTGTTGTTGTTGTAACCACTTGTGTTTTTTTTTTTGGTGCATAGCGCCATGTGCTTCAAGCATTCTTGTTGCATTGATATGTTCGCCCGCCGCTGCTGCTGCCACTTGTCTTCACTTCCCCCCGCTTTGCTCAAGTGTTGACATTAGTTGCGGCACTTGCATATAAAAGTCAAGAATCATTTGCCTCGCTTCACAGTCTTTAAATTTCAAGCGCAGCATCGGTTTGCCAATTTGATTTCGGCTTGATTTTGTCCATAAAAGTTCGTTGTTTTGTGGTTTTTCGCGTTGATATTTATTATTTAATTTTGCTTTGTATTCGGTTGCGTGTGATAATACTCACGTCTTGGCTGAAGAGGTTTCTTTGCCTATTGAACGCGTCTTGAGCGCGTTTTATTAACGGATTTGGACAGGACTCGCGTGTGTACGAAGGATATCGAGAAGTAGTGGCAGGATGTTGATGTTAAAGGTGTGATTAAAATAAGTATTTTTTTTTTAAAGAAAATTATTTGAATTGAAGCTGCTTAAATATGTATGAATAAAACTAAAGACTTTTAAGAGAAGTGCCATATGCTATTTATGTGAATTTTAGTGCGAATATGTTCGAAAAATATTAAAAATTAAGAACTGCAATTCTTTTCTTTCTTGAATCAATACGAATTTTGAAAAGTCAAAGTTTCCACATCGAAATAAAAAAAAAATATCGTTAATGAGTTAAGCTCTGCGAGATTTAAAAGCTCATGGAATGAATTCATGTAGTTATACGAATAATATAGCTTGCAGATAATTTACCTGCGTAATTAAGGACTTTATTGGTTGATGTTTAACACAAATTGCAAATGCGCCTATTACTTAAAATTCTACTATTGTGAATACTCTCGTAGTCAATGGCAGGAATTGTAGTAGTGATTCACCTCGATCTTTCTCTGTAGTACTACCTAGGACTAGGTTCCTAGCATTCGCATCGCAGCCGACAACAATAATTTGTCTGGAGTTTTTGGTTATTATGTCCTTGGTCTTGACCTTCACCAGTGATCTGTATGCTGCACTGAAATCAAAGCAAAGGAATGCATTTATACGTTCTTGAAGTATAATTTGTAGTTCTTTACGTTTAGTACAATGACTGTCTTTTTCTTGAACCAGAGCTCTTGCATTAAGCTAATATCTATGTCCTCCTCACTGAGGAGAACAGCTAAATTATTTGTAATGCATTTCGAGTGCTGCAGATTAATTTGGTCAATTTTAATTCTTCGTGTCAGGGTCAGCAGAAAGCTTCACACCCAGGAGAAGCTCGCCATCTCCATCAACCCCAGATCTTCGTTTATGGGGATAACCTTACCAAGGAATAACCGCCTTCTAGCCTTACGGATACTGAAGCGGATCCGGTAGTGCGTCTTCGCTAAGGCATCCAAAGATTCCGCACATATGTCTAGCTAAATGGGTTTATTTGAGAGCCTTTTGACTTCTTCAAGCAGGTTTATCCTTCTTCTGGCTGGCGTCGTCAGGCGTACTTGCAACGTCTTATCTGACTGCGGGAAAGTGAGGAGCTATTATTTCTCTAACCGCTTTATGTCTTCCTCTTAAAGTCCACTAGCGTGCTGCTGGTGTTGGTTTTTTTTCTTGATTTTGTTCCATATGTAATGATTACACGAGTAATCCGGAAAGGGTTCGTCGCACATCCGCAGAGTCGGGTTGCGTGGAGAAGGCACTGCTTACGGCTGATCTTGCCCGGGCATCGGAGTGGTCATAAAAGGGTCAAATGAAATTTTTATTAAGAAGTAGAAGTAATGTTACTCATACGCCATATCGTACATGGCCATCCTGGTACATAATCCTTCAAGGCGCATGAGTAACATTTTACATATTGAAATTTTCATTTTTTCATTCGCAATGCAAATATAAAATGAAAATATCTTAAGAAAATTACCTGATCTAGAAAAAAGGCATACAGATACGTAATCTACGACTCCATTTAAGTTTAAGTGTCTCGGCGGTTTTGTGTCATTTTAGCGTGCCTACATTATAACAATTATTTTATTTCTAAGTACTTCTCGCGTTTTTCGCAGAGTTAAATTATGAAAATCAATAAAAGAAGAAGGATATACCATTGTGTCCAGCTGATTAAGTCAAGAGACATTTTGACTACTTTGCTTTTTTTGTTTACTGTTGATATTTTTTTTTATAAAAGGCTTTGTATGAAAATTCAACCAACTTTAACAACTCCACCAAATTGCAAAAATTTTAAAATTTTTAAACAAGAATTTTTAGAAAAATTGTGTGTATGCAGTTTTTATCTTATTAATTATTAGTAGATTAAAGTGCAAATTTCAAGACGGTAGAAAATCGCGTTGATTTTTAATATTATTTTTTTTTTTGCTGGCGGTGTTGTGCATTTTTTGAGCTTCAAAACTGCATTTAATAAGCTTCAAAACTGCATACCCAAAATTTATATAAACAACGATTTATGTGGGGATGGTTAGGTAAAGTGCTAAACTTTTATTAAAAAAAATATAAACATTAATAAACAAAAGAAAAATTGCCAAACTAGTCAAAATGTCACTTCACTTAATCAGCTGACCACAAGTGTGAATAGTGCCTTATTTGTATGTTGTAAATATAAAAATTATTCCTACGAATTGATAACTTTCTCCTTTTCTTTCAAGTTGGTTAAAAATAAGATATCTCTGAGGTGTTTCTCCGAAAAGGTATTATTTTTGTAACCAGAAGCCAAATCTGATCAATAAATACAATAATCATTTCTTTTGCTTTTATATATATGTATGCAAATTGGCCTACCTAATTAACATCTAAAAAATTAAACAACAGTTATACTGCCACTATTGATTTTATGGAATAGTATGAATTTCTTCACATGGCATTAAGACGAAGCAAAGAATAAGTTAAGATTAAATTAAGACATTTTTATGCGAAATACAATTTATTAATTAATTTGGTTAATTTAGTTTTTCTCTCCGACATTAAGATTGTTTTTAAAAGGACTTGAAAATTTCAAATATATGATTAATTCAAAAACTTATATACAAAATTTAGTGTAATGTATGTAGAATAAAAATATGGCTACCAAATAAAAGATAAAATTTTGTAGAATTGAAAAATATTGAATTTTATCCTTGGGTATCCTTGCGAATTTTCAGTTATTATTGTTGAGAAAATTATAGTAAGTAAGTATTATATCCCAGGGATGATAAATGCGTTTCTTAATATTGTACCAATTGGCAAATAAAATGTACCAAATCAGCCGAAAAAATACCAACAAATATATATGTCTATACATAAATTAGGTAAATCTCTCTATTTGTCTAGCAACAAAATTCCTGTGAAAGAGTGAAATATCAACTGTTCTCTCACAAGAGAAAAATATCCCGTATGGCATGCGAACATAAATTTTGTAGAAGCTTTCAAGCTTTCCTAACAGCTGATAGCATTTTTGTTTTTATTCAAAAGTGTAAAAAGAAAATAATTCTCCATTAGTCTAAGGTTCAGGCTACCGGATCACTGTACAGTTTTCCAATGCAGGGAACACTTGAAAATTGCTCAAGGTCTGGGTGCTCCACTGACCTCATGCGGTATACTTCAGGACAGATGGGCGTTAAGTCAGCTCAGCATGCGCTGGGCAAAGGCCTTGGAGTGCAAGGTGGCTAAGCCCTTTTGACCACGTGAAGGGAGCTCTAACTTGTGAATAGTTTAAAAAGGCCATCAAAACCCTAAGAATACAATTCTGAACGCATGAAAAACATTTTGTGAAGTTGTACTCTAAGTTTCAAAGCACAAACAAACAAAACAAAACACACAAAAGCATATAAATAAATATGTTTATTAAGTGCAAGGTAACACAAACCTTACAAAAAAAGAGTTTGCATTTAATGCAAAAATATTTTTAAAAATATTTGGTCTTTTTATATTATTACAGATACTGTTTATTGATTTTAGCAAGAATTTCGTTTTTAATAAATACCACGTATTTACTTGTATGAAGTGGAAAAAGATGAGTATATTTTCACTCCCAAACATTACATTTTGTTTGAAGTGAAACTTCTTTAGCGGCGGTTAGTTGGTTGGGAGTAAATTGGCAAATTCAAAGGAAATTGCACACGAAAATGGTGCAACGGAAATGATGCAACGGAAAGGGTTGGGGTTGAAACACGTGCTTCTTGTGTGTATGCACATGGTATTAATTTAACAAAAATTTTCTAATAAAAGATTAAAGAATAACACTTAGAAAAATACCACTACAAGAATGAAAGTAAAGGACTACGAACATAGATAAAGAAAAGATAAAGGCAATCCCTGCTGAAGTCTAGAAAAAAGAAGTCTGATGAGGAGATGTGGTGATCTCCGAAATAGCTGCTATAACTTCTACCGCTTACACTTTGTTGCTTTTTCAATTTTTCCTAATAAACAATCGTGGTACAAAGCTCAATAAAAATATGAAAAATAATCGATATTTTTATATCAATATTTTCATCGATTTGTTATCGACTTTGTAAACGATATTTTTAACTAATATTTAGCGGTAATTTTTACCGATTTTGTTATCGATATTTATTGATTTTGTTATCGATATTTTTATCGATTTTGTTATCGATATTTATCGATTTTATTATCGATATTTATAGATGTTGTCAATATTTACCGATTTTGTTGAAAACAGAATAACATAAATGTAATTAGAACGAACAGGGGTAGAGGTAGATAGAAAAAAGACAAAAAAGGTAACCTTAAGCAAAGGCAGATGTAGGTATGTATGTACATAAGTATCTATGTATATTGGTTATGAGACAAAATAGATACGCCTGTAACGTAAGTTTCACTTCTCCAGTGTGGTCCAGACGCACTTAATTCTTTTTATCTGTGGTGTTGTCTTCGCTGGAATGTCCTATGTGTATGTACATACATAAAAAAGGCAAACGTGTTTTCTTTACATCGCTTTTGCGTCTAAACATTATTTCTAACTTGGAAGTTCTAAGCTATAAACAAATATGTATACATATGTATATCATTCGAAAGGTATTTTGATGTTGAATAAACAAAAGGTAATACAACCTTTTATATAATAATACAACCTTTTACTAAGGCTTAAATTAAGGGTTGAACTTTCTACTACAATCCCTAAGAATACCATCCCTGCACTTTGACCCTAAGGTCACTTATAGTCCTTTATTGAACTGTAAAAACTGATTTTGGCGCAATTTTTGTTTTCAGTAACATAATTTTCCAGTATTTTAATTTTATTGGTCAATACATGACTATACATAAGCGACCATTAGTTCAAGATGCATCGATGGTATTTTCAGGGATAGGAGATTCTAGCTTTAATTTAAGCCTAATTGGAAGGTTATATCATCTTTTGACCTCGTTTTTCTCTAAATCGGGGCCTGTTGGAAACTTTATACTTCCAGATTAGTAATAAGCACAAAAATGTCCTTAAAACATAGCTCCAATATTTATCTTAGGTTCGGGTTTCATGATTTCTGCACCGTCCATCAGGCAGAGGTGGCAGCTTTAAAATTGACAGCCAAATGGCTACGCACCAGTATATTACGGATTAGAACGGTACTCAGGGCCCTTGGATCGCTCATTGCACGATCGCACCTGCCTAAGGGTTTTTTACATGCAAGCTGTTTTGGGTTCCTGGATACAGTGATAATGTCGGATATTGAAGAGCTGTCTAATTGGCTACATACGGTACCCTTGCAGTCATCTCCACGGTGAGGGAGCGCATGGAATTTTTTTTGCCACTTTCGTACCACTCCTGGTTACATGGGCTTACGGCCGGCTCAGCCATCGCTTTACAAATGCCTTGGCATGTAAAGTTGCGAAGTATTTTTGGCCAGTGGTTGACTAAGATTTTCTAGGGGTAAACGCCGTCTTTGAATTCTTACAGATGTAATGCGATGCGATGCGATTTAATATCATTACGGGTCCCTACTGTCACAGCTGTCTGCAGGACGAGGTGAAATCAGCTCAGCACTTCTTCCTTAGCGGCTTGGTTTTCACTAGACAAATGTTTAAACACCTCGACTGATATTTTATTTTGAGCACCCAAAAATATTCCTCAAAATATTTTCGGTGCAACTGAGTTAATAACTTTTTCTCGGAAGTACTATAACTATGCCTTGAGCTTTTAATTCGGAAAAAAATGCCCAAGCAGGAATATCTCTATGTTTGTCTTCCAATATCTACTTTCGACTTTCAGTAAACTTAATATGTAACTATTTTATTTTCAGATACTCTTTATAACAGCAACATTTGCTTTAACCCATTGTGGTGTCATTGGCCCGTATGCCGCACATTATGGACCACACGGCGCTGGACCGCTACACTATGCACCCTATGCAGTACCTCATGCACCTCTTCCAGGGCCATATGTAGCACCAGGTAAGCTACTATTCAGTTTTATATAAAGTTGTATTTGAACGCAAAAAGTGAATACCCTTTTCTTCGTTCCTTATCCGTTCAGCACCAGCACCAGCACCGGCTGCCCCTGAACCCTATGACCCAGCACCAAAATACTCTTTCGGCTATGACATTCAAGATGGCTACACTGGCGATTCGAAGAGCCAACATGAGACGCGTCATGGCGATGTGGTCAAGGGCAGCTATTCACTTGTTGATCCGGATGGCACCAAGCGCACTGTGGACTATACCGCTGATCCGCATAATGGCTTCAATGCCGTTGTGCGTAAGGAACCCATTGCTTACAAAGTCGCCCACGCCCCTGTTCCAGCTCCCATAGCACCCGCACCCATCGGCCCAGCAGTAGCCGTGAAGGCACCAGCCATTTCCTATCCAATAGCAATCGCTCCAGCACACATTCCAGTCCCAGCACCAGCACCCGCTCCCCTACCCATTGCACATGCTGGCCCACATTTTGCTGCAGCCTATCCAGCTTTGGCACATAGCTCTGCCTATGCTAGCTATCCGCTCGCTGCTGATCCGCATTACGGTAACTATTATCCGCACTAAGCTCGACGAATGGCAGGCATTGAAAGCATTTTGGATATCGTCCAAGGCGACTATTTACTTTGAAATGATTTTGCTAATATTACATTACGTTATTTTTCCGCTTTGCATCTATCAGCTACTTCTTTTCTTTGATAATTCATATAAACATACATACATACTCACATACATATATATATATTTGAATATATAAATATTTGTATTTTTGCATATCCGTTTAATTGCTTTTATTATGGCATGGCATTTAATTATTACTCTGGCACACACAAAAAAAAAGTAATATTAAATATTCCATATCATAATCGCAATCATAATCGCTATTAACGGTTCATTCAGTATATTACTTATAAATAAATACATATTTTTAATTTGAGTATCGATGGAAGGACGTACATTTATACGAGAATTACATACACATACAGTTATGTCCTTTACTATATATATCTCTCTCTCTCTTTCTCCTTTTTGCTCTCTTATGTATTTTCAATCACAAACCAATACGATTACAATGTTAGCATAATGATTACATTATTAGAATTAGATTCGAAAGCGTGTGTGTTGTTGTTTTCTAAGCACTAAGTTTTAAGATTTTTTACGAACTTAATTTTTTATACATACATGCATACAAATATTTAAATAAAACAGGTACATTGTGTATATAATAGGAGGACAATTGCTTGGTTTTAATTTGGGTCGGATTGGGGCATTCAAAAGCCATGGTGGTATTCGATTTTAGCTTGGAAAAAGCCTACTGATATATTTGGCTGGTAATCAAAATTAAAAAAATACTGAATATACCAAAGTAAATACAAGTGAACTCAATATAGCGACACTTAATCCTTAAAAGGTATGTATATGGTTGGTACAAGTATTTTTTCTACAGACTTAGTATACAAGGGGAACTCCGCAGGGAGGGGTCTTATCACCCCTGCTGTGGATCTTGGTACTAAATGAACCGTTACAAAGCTTTAAAGATAGGAAAACGAAGATAGTTACCTACGCTGATGACTTGGCTATACTAATTTCCGGCAAATTCTAGCCAACAATAAGTGAGCTGATGGAATCGGCACTGGGTAGTGTTTTCAACTGTGCAAAACGAAATGGGCCAAGAGTTAACCCTTCTAAACCCGTACTTATCTTGTTCACAAGTAAACAAAAAACCGAAATTCCTTTTGCCAAAGCTGTATGGGGCTAGTCTTAAGCCTTCCTCCGAGGCGAAATACTAAGGTATTATCCTTGACACCAAACTTACGTGGAGGCACAGCGTAGAGGAAAGAGAAAGAAATGCCCAGCAGCGTACTAAAACTGAAGGCGGTCAACGCATATTGTTCACGGTATATTCACAGTCATCTGACAGATTTTAACCTATGGATCGCTGGTCTGGTGGAAAGCACTGGATAAAAATAGCAACCTGAGAATAAGTGGAAAGTTTCGGTGTATCAAGCGCCGTGAGAAGCGCGCCACAAGAAAGGCTGATCACGATCTTTTACCTGGAGCCAAGACAAGTATTTGTAACGGGGGAAGTCGCAAAAGGGGCCCTTAGACTAAGGTAATTAAAATTGTAGGAGCATACTAACTACGGTCACGAAGCGGTCTTGAAGGTAATTAATAGTTTACGGCGTATCGGAATCAAGGCCGACTTAGATGTCGAAACTGATTACCTCACGTTATCCTGGGGCTTTAGTTTTAAGGCAATTCCAACCCGGAAAGATTGCAGGTGGAAAAGATGAAAAAAGGATTCGGCTCTGGTCTGTGCTCTAATTAGGCAATCATACCACCTGTCCGATAACTGCAGTATCTTTCAGGCAGATATACTTGCCATAGAGAAGGCGGCTTGTCTCAAGTGGGATAGTAAGTATCTGTCAGGGAACATCATTATATTCGTTGACAGCCAGGCGGCATTGAAAACATTGGGCTCCAGGGTGGTAAAGTAGAAAGCAGTTCGGAAATGTCGCGCAACGCTAGCTTCGCTGAGTCACGTTAAAACTACTCTCTGCTGTGTTCCCGGATATAGCAATATGCATAGAAGGGAACGAAATAGCCGATGATAGGGCTAGACACGGCTTGGAAATGCAAATTAACGAAGCGGACAACTCCCTACTGCCCCGATTTCTTTTCTGCTAAGGGGGATTGAAGAACAAATCACAATGACCTTTGATCAATCGGAACGACTGTGAGGTCTCAAGATCTCTGCACTATTGACACTAAACAAATCTGCAGTTAGGGCTCTTACCGGTATCATCATAGGGCACTGTGCTATAGCACCAATGCTCAATTACTTGGCGTATACCAGCAAGTTTCCTCTGCATAAGTTGTCGGGATGAGGGTGTCCAGGAATCGATTTACCACTTTTTATGTCAATGCCCAGCTCTCTACTAAAGGCGTCTCAAGCATTTGGGATAGCGGAGGTGAAAATATCGAACATCCACAGTTTCCTCAGGGATAGTAAAGGGTTTGACAGCCTTTTACTGAGATTATCGATTAACCTCGGTTAGAAGGATATGCCCCTCCTGGCACTCACAGAGGGCATTCACAATGGTCAAATCTGCCTCTGAGTGGAAATACGAGTCATTCGTACGCGTCTTCCCAACCTTACCTAACCTAGAATAAAATTTTTCAGAAGAACGTCTCCACTTTCGTGCCGGGTGCAGTATAAAAAATGAGGATTGGAAGAATTCTATCAGTTTATTGGGATGGCTAAGAGCTGAAGGTTTTCAAACCATTTATCCAAACGTGGAAATCTAGTCTTGCCAGCAACAGGTATGATGTCAGTAAAAGCATATATAGGTGGCAACTTTGATCTGACTTAATAGCGCAGTTGACCTGATAAAAATTGTACCCTGACAGATGGCAGTAATGCGCATTGACGAGCCACGAGGTTATGGGTTCCAGCCCGACAGCCAGTGGAATTTTCATTTTATATTTTTAAATTTATTCAATTATTGATTTTATTATTTTTTTAAATATTATTTTAGTTGTAGACTTTTTAATAAAATTAAACTCCAAAAATTTTAACTATCTAATATTAAAAAGTAAATAACATGAAATAATACTGAAAGTAAAAAAAGTAGATAAATTCAAAATGTATAGATAAATCGGCCTGGTTCAGGGGATGGTGTATTCTCACTCCCAAGACAGTAGGTTTAACATACTCGAGTGTTATTTTAACAATGTAGATATTCTTGTTAAGTTCAGTGAACTTCAGTAAGTGTGAAATTTTTACTCATTTATTTTATGTTTTAATTGTGATTCAAAATACATACTGCCATAAAAAATTTGCTTTGTGATGCAGAAATATCCCCAATATTTAAATAGTAATATTTAAGTGCCAACAATAAATCATGACTTATCGCCGTTCTTGGAGACATTAATTGATACATAATGCTTGTAATACAATATCGGCGAACGGCACACATCGCCGAATCGTGCGATGCTGTCGTTCACCGTTTGCCTAGCTATTTCGCCTACTTAAACAGAATTAGAGCGGTAGCGAAAACAGCTGATACCATTTGGTCACCTGTATAATTTGGGTGACCAGATTTAGAAAAAAGGTATATTTTTATTTAGAAATGAGGAAATGATAACAAATATAAATGTAAAACAAAGAGAGATTAGTTTAAATTATTTTATTTCAAGCCAGATTTAACGAATCCAAAACTATATGTTTCAAGCAGCCAAAATAATTCATGTTTATTTTGTTTTCTCTAAGACTATGAAAGCAAAAAAGGAATACGGCCACCTTTGGCACGTAAAGCTGTCATCGCAGAGCAGCGCGATAGAAATAAATCTATCGCCATGAAACGCCCCCGAGCGAACTTCGCATTCGCTTTTCCAGTGTTCAATTTCATATACTTGTGGGTGTTCTAATTTTGACAGCGCGAATTTCGCTGTGGTGAGTTCGCCGTTCGCCAGCATTGTATTTCAGCTATAAATCGTATAAAAGTTTTTAAAAGAATTGAATACGAAGTTTCTAGAATTTTAGTATTAGCATTTTCGACCAAATTGGCTATGGTATATCTTATTCTATTGATTCCAAGTCGTTCCTTGTTTCGACAAAGTTTTTAGTCCATATTGAAGTACACTGGAACTCAATCAGCAGCATTTCAAACTCTTCGATTTCCAGCCAATCAAACTTAGACAAGTTCAATTTATCAAGTAAAGTCACACCAGGATAGATAATAAATTTGAGTGTTTCCGATAACTCTTTGAATTCAGGAAACCTGTCTGAAAATTCTTCGATGACATAATTTATTACCAAAGAAAACTCTTTGGTGCCTCTTTCTCCGACTGGTTTTTCATGTACATAAGTCTAAAGCGGATGCTAAATCCCAAACTAAGAATTTTTACTTTACGAACCATTTTTGCTTTTCAACGCTTGCAGCTTTTGTATTTTCTAGTAAATAATAAGCAACTGACATTGCTTCGTAGGAGTGCAGGCATATCAGCCACTAAAAGTACTTACTTTGTTGTTCCGTTTAAAAACATCAAAAATATATAAATTTTCAATATTTAATTTAACGTCTTTTTTTATTTCGTTAGTATTTATGTATGTATTTGGTTTTATTGTATTAACGTACATATATGTAAGTGTATGATTCTACATAGTCTCCTTGCCATAGCTAACTAGTATGTTAGTATGTATGTATGTAAGTGTGTATGTAGATTTATAACCATTATCAGTTGAAGACAGTTTTGAATGACACATTTTCGTTTATCTAATTACATAAGTATGTATTTAATTATGTAT